AAAAGAAACAAACAAAAAAACAGTCACAGGTTTTATCTTCAAGACATTTTTTTTTAGGACCGTTCAGAATTCAAATGGATAGGCTCTATATTAATAAACAGCTTCTCAAGTTCTCGTCTGGGTGCGGTAGACCTTTATCCAGCCTGAGCAGGGTCAGCATACATCAGGGGATATTTATATCCTTAACCAGGAAGAAGCTGACTACCAGCTGTTTCCTCGGAATGTGGCTGCTCTGAGTTGTAGGTTAGGCAAAGGCAGTGGGTGGGATTCTGGCTTCTGGTCCTAGGCTTCTCCCTGGGATGTGCTAGTCTGAGCCTACCCAAGACTTCAGCCAAAGAAAGCTGTCCATGGCTGCAGTCTCCTTTGCGGGGTGGGGGGGTTCTCATTTAACTAGAAGTTTACTTCTGGGGATCCTCATCTCAAGGACTGAAGCCAGTGAGGTTCAGGGAGGTCAGGTAATTTACAAGATCAAACAGCTAGTGAACCAGGTAAGACACCAGCATTTGTTTTCTGTTTTCAAAGTTTATTCTGTCCTATACACCACACTGTACAACCAATTAAAGTACATCCCTAGTCTTTCTGAGTTACTTAAAAACCACAGGGACTGTCTGTTTATTCCAACTGGAATTATATGCCACTTTGGCCCCTAAATTGTCCTCTGTGTAAATAGAATTATAGTGCCTCATTACAGAGTGGTTAAGGTGAAATAGCTTATAGGTTGTGCCAAACAGGCTGTACTCTAACCTACCTGCCATATATTAAAAACTGTTTTTTGCCATAAAAACACTGTGCGGGGCTGTATAAAGGTTTAGTAGTTTAGACCAAAAGAATATTCTTCCAGAGGACTCAAGTTTGATCCTCAGCAGGACAGGTGGCTCACAACTGTCTGCAACTAAGGCTGCAGCAGGATCCAATTCTGGCTTCTGTGGGCACCTGGGTTCATGTATACGTGCACACACATTCACACACTTACATACACACACACACACACGTACACATACACACATGCACATGCATACACATACATATAAATACACATACAAACACATTCACACACCCACATATATACACACATACACATACATGCACACACACATATATACATATACATGCACACACATAAATATACATACACATGCAAACACTTTCAGACACACACACACATGCACACACAGATAGACATACACACATACACATGCACACACACATACACACACATATATATACATATACATGCACACACATAAATATACATACACATGCAAACACTTTCAGACACACACACACATGCACACACAGATAGACATACACACATACACATGCACACACACATACACACACATATATACACATACACACATATACACATACGCATGCACACACATACATATACATGCAAACACTTTCAGACACACACATATATACACACATGCACACACACATATATACACACAAACACACACATACACACACACACTCTCTCTTATTGAAATAATAAAAATAAATTCTAACAAATACCTTGCAAGCATTTGATGCCCCTCTGGACATTCAGAACACACTCTGACTTTGGTAGGAATTCCCCAGATGCAGTACCCAAGCTGACTCATGATGTATTCACAACCACCTAGGGTCCTGAATAAGACTTTGGGGAATAGAGGGCAAAGTGCTTGTCCTATACCAGAACGATGGGCTGGGAGGCAGCCTGCAGGATTAGTTTAACACTTACCCTGTCTGTGTGCTTTGGTCAGCAGTGAAGGCCCAGGGCCCATGTGATCCAGGACTATTTCCTAATTACTCATAGAACAACTCTCCCTTCTTCACCGATCCAGGTACTTCCCCACTTTATGAAAGTGAAACTGACTTTCTTAATTATTAAAAACATGTATTTCCAAATTTTGGAAATTTTGCAAAATAAAGTGTGAAGAAGAAAATTATAGTCATGTTCCTGTCAAAATTTGGTAATTTTTTTCATTTTCCCTATACAGACAACATAAACAAGCTACTCAGTGATTTATTTGCATACCTACTTACACATACACATCCTGGTCCACAAGTAGCTATTATTTTTGTCCTTAAGTTTACATACACTCTGTGTCCATTCTCTGTATGGTCAGAGGTATGCACTAATCTTTACTGATTCTTTTTTGTTTTTTGTTTTGTTTTGAGGATTTTTTGTTTGGTTGGTTTTTGAGACAGGGTTTTTCTGTGTAGCCCTGGCTGTAGTGACAATTTTGGAATTTGGGTTTCTTTAAAAAAACAAAGAACTACTATAAGAATATGGGATTTGGGGCTGCTTCAGACTGTCCACAGCAGCTGACTATGATTTACCTCATGGTCTAGCAGGAGTGTGATTTTTGTCAGCTGCAGATAGCTTGGCACTTTGAGGACTTTTTAGAGAGAATATAAATATAAATTCTAACACACTAAGTTCCCCAGAGGTTGATGGGTTGTGGTTTGGTTGTTATTTGTTGTCGTTTGCTGTTAGTCATGATTTATTAAGTAGTTGCGCACAAAGAAAGAAATAAGAAGAAATTAGATATTCTGATGATGAAAATCAAACTTGCCCCAAGGAACTCAATGCCCCTGATCAGCAGGAAGTAGTCTAATGAGAATATTGCCTCCCTTTCCCACCACTGACTTTATTCAGAGATCTGTTTCCTTTCCTCTATTTCCTTTTTCTCTCCTATCTAGTGTTGGGGAGTTGAAAAGGCAGAAAGAAAAGGGGCGGACAGGGGAGGAAGAGGAGCCCACAAAGCAGCTCAAGACAGGTACACCTGGCTTTCCTGGAACTTGCTCTGTAGACCGGAGGCCTCTAGTAGACCTCAGGCCTCTGGTAGACTTCTGGTAGTCCTCTGTAGACCAAGGCCTCAAACTCAAAAGATTCACCTGCCTCTGCTGTGGTGCTGGGGTCAAAGGTGCGTGTCACTGCCACCTAGCTATGCCTGCTTCTTCTTACAGTAAAATTACAAAAGCATATTCTCTCTCACACGCAATAGGGATGACACTGTACGAATACTTCTGTTTAACCTACTCTCTCTAGCTTCTCTCCCAGAGCATCAGGGATTATCAGAACACATGGTTAAAGCATGACCTCAGGATATATTTTACTTAATGACTCATGCTGGCCATTTAGTTTGAGGCAGAGTTTCATGTGACCTAAGCTGGCTTTGAATTCGTGTTGTCAAGGGTGATTTTGAACGTCTGATCCATTTGTTTGTTTTGTTTTGAGACACAGTTTATTTGTGTAACAGCCCTGGCTGTCCTGGAACTTGCTTTGTAGACCAGACTGACTGCAAAATCACAGAGGTCCGCCTATCTCTGTCTTCCAAGTGCTGGGATTAAAGGCATGTGCCACCATGCTTGGTTTTATGGGACCCAGAGGATCAAACACAAGTCTTTTTTTTTTAATGGTAGGCAAGCAATCTACCAACTGGATTATATCTTCAGCCCTGTCTAAAATCTTTTTTCTACCTTAAGTCAATCAAGGTAAATCTTGGTTCAAATTTTTGACCTTTTATTTTTCTCTTTTAAAACTTAATTGTATTTTATGTATGGATGTTTTGCCTGCATACATGTCTGTGTACTACACATATGCAGTGCCTGTGGCAGCAGAGGAGTATGAGAGGTCTCCTGGAACTGAACCACCACGTGGGTGTTGGGAATCATCTCAAAGAGAAACATCTCTCCAACCCCCAGTGACCATTTTTTGAGATTAGTCCTTTGATGTTGTGTTTTAGGTTAAGAAACCAGGGGTCACACTAAGTCTGTTCTCTGAAGCCTTACCCTTCGTGCCTACCCACAAACCACCTGGGAAATCTTTCCACCCTGGCCAGGTTTGGTTAGACGCTATCCCCAAAGTGTCCCTGTATTCTACTGCCACCTTACAGAAGGCAACGAGCCCATGCCGGTGGCCCCTTCTCTTCAAATATATCATCCCGGCTCTCATCAGAGCCAGTGGACCCCTTTATTTAAAGAAGTATGGGGCCTTGGACCGTGACAAGAAGCCTGGTCATGAAATTATACTAACTTTCTGAGATTTTTCTTTTGAAAAGAGAAAAAAAAAACTAGTGGGTTGTCGCAGCCTGAGCAGGTAGCCAGTGCCCCACTGCCATTTCAGGTGCCTCCTTATCCACACAGCTCTTATCAGGGTGCTTCCTCATCTGTCACCCCTGAAAGCCTAGAGGCAGTACACTCTAGAAAATGTCTCTCAAAGGGAAGAGCCTAGAGTCCCTTTTAGTTATTGTTATCTGTTGCTGTGATAAAACCCATTACCGGACCAGATGTGGCAATGCATGTCTTTAATCCCCGCACAGCCAGATAGACATCTGTAAATTCAGGGCCACCTTGGTCTATACAGCAAGTCCCAGCCCAAATAGAGCTTCATAGTTAAAAAAAAAAAAACTTTAAGAAGGAGGAGGAGGAGGAGGAGGAGGGCTGGAGAGATGGCTCAATGGTTAAGAGCACTGACTGCTCTTCCTGAGGTACTGAGTTCAAGTCTCACCAACCACATGGTGGCTCAAAACCATGTATAATGAGTTCAGATGCCCTCTTCTGGCATGTAGGTGTACATGCAGATAGAGCATTTGTATACATAAAATAAAATCTTTTTTTTAAGTAGTAATTTGTAAAAGAGAGAGAGAGAGAGGAGAAAAGAAAAGCAAGAACAAAATACCTAAACCAAAACCCCCACCATGACTAAAGGTAACGTAAGAGAGAAGTTTATTTTGGCTCAGGGTTGCAGAGGCATGAGAGTTCATGAGAGCAGAGGCATGACAGCAAGCTGCAGTCTGGTGACCAGAGTGTGAAGCTCAGAGTCCACACCCTCACACATAGTATGAAGCAGAGAACAAACTAGATGCAGGTGAGGGTTTGGGTTTTTTTTATGCGAAAGCTTGCCCCAGTGATGCACATCCTCCAGCACGTGTTCTAAGCATTCCCAAACAGTGCCGCCAACTGGGGACCAAGACTATCGGAGGACTTATTCAAACCACCGCAGTCCCTTTCCTGTTCAAAACCAGTACAATTTTATTAGTTTTATCGGACTAGTGTGCCGTGTTTCCAGGATCTGTACTGCTAAAGTCCTTTTTACATTTTCTAAGAGTTTAGACTTTGGTGTGATGGGAGGAAGGACAAGAAGTGTTAATCTTGGTCCAGTGAACTTGATGGAGGCAGAAGGACAGGGAGCAAAAGAATGTCGTTCTACAGCGGCTCTGCTGAACAGGCTTCTGCCTTTCTGTGCTGGGAGAGAGCAGCTCTCCGCCATGGAAGTGGTGTTGTTATTAAGTCCCTTCAGAAGAAAGGCTGTTGGGAAGAGGGGACAGAGAAGGGATGTTGTCACATTCCATTCAAAGTGCTCTTTTAATGCCTGTCACACTTAACAAAGATCAGGAGCGAGCCAAAGCACAAGCTGAAACAAATACACATAGACAAATATGGACTCTTCAAGTCTAGGAGTGTCTCTAAAACTCCTATTTGTACATTAGCTTTCTCGAGAAATCTATTTAGAGCATGTGTGTGTGTGTGTGTGTTATATGGGTTTTTTTTTTTTATCTGTATTACAACTGTGCATCACATGTGTGCCTGGTGCCTGCAGAGGCCAGAAGAGGGTATGAGATCCTCTGGGACTGGAGATACAGATAATTGTAAGCAGTGATGTGGATGCTGGGAATTGAACCCAAGTCTTCTGGAAGAGCAGCCAATGTTAACCACTCTCCAACCTTGCATATTAACTTTTATTTGTTATGAATGAATATTTCCAATTGCCAAGTGCTTTGGATACACTATTAAATACCAATTATAGTCTTTTGAGGTAGATACTATTGAGTTCTATTTCACAGATATGGATATTGAACCCTAAGAGGTTGTTTCAGACTACAAAGTTGGCAGAGCTGAGAAACAGAGCCAGCCTCTCTTGACTACGAAGCTCACTTTACTTAAGTTATTGATTATTTTGCTTTGCTTATGGCATTTATCATGAGCTACTTCATTCAGCAGATATGTCTCCAAGTCCTATAAGTCCCTCAGGGACATTTATCCTTCTTACTTCTTATTTGAAATGCCTCGAAAACAATAGGCAATTAATATGCATTCTATTGAGTGCTGATCATTGCAACTTTGTGTATTTTTCCCCCTGCAGTTGTTTGAATAAAAATGGAGTCCATAGACTCCTATATTTGAATGCTTAGTCGGGGAGTAGCACTGTTTGAAAGGATTAGAAGGATTAGGAGGTGTGGTTTTATTGGAGTAGGTGTGTCCTTGTTGAAGGAAGTGTGCCACTGGAGATGGGCTTTGAAGATTCCGAAGCCCAAGCCAGGGCAGGGCTTACTCTCTCTGCCTGGGAATCAGGATGTAACTCTCAGCTACTTCTCCAGCACTGTGGCTGCCATGCTTACTGCCACTAAGTCTGAAACTGTAAGCAAGCCCCCAGTTAAATGCTTTCTTTTATAAGAATTGCTTGGTTATGGTCCAAGACATGTCCCTAACTTTTTACTGAAATGTCAGGAATTTATTGGCATATTTCAAAAATAGTTAACACATACATTATCTTCCAACAAGACTCACCAACTGCTAATATTTTTTCATATTTGCTTGTTGTTGTTTTTCTCCTTTTTTCTTTTTTTTTTAATCATTTAAGAGTTAGTGGCAGGCTCTCTCATCCCCCACCTGCCCTTCCCCCCACCCCCCATATCACTGTGGCAACCTACTTGCAGATGTCTTTCCTTCTACCCTGCCTCCATTCCCTGGGAACTCAGCTGAACGTGGGAGTTGACCCTCTCATCCCTCCCTTCTGGCCCATTCCCATTCCTTTGAGTCAGACCCTGATACCTAGAAACACTAAGACCCAGAGTGTCAACACTTGGCTGGGACTCAGGTAGGTGACTGTCTCAAAGAATCAATGGGACAAAGAATTGGTTTTTTTTTTTTTAAAAGAAAATAAGATAAACCCTTAGCCAAATTAGCTAAAAGATAGATGGAGAAGATCCAAATTAATAAAATTTGAGGCAAAAGTGGGGATATCACAATAGATACTGAGGAAATCCAGAGAATCAGAAGGACACACATACTTTTAAAACTCTGTACTCCACCAAAGTGGAAAACATCAGAGAAATGGATACATTTCTTGGTATATAAGATGTACCAAGGTACCAGATAAAAAACTTAGACCCTTAGCACCTAGTAAAATAAAAGCTGTAATGAAGTCTCCTAATCAAGAAAAGCCCAGGGCCAGATGGAGTCAGTGAAGAATTCTACTAGATCTTCAAAGAAGAATCAATGCTAATAATCCTAAAGTTATCCCACAAAATAGAAACTAAGAAACATTACTAACATTCTTTTTATGAGACCACAATTGTCCTGCTACCTAAAGAAAGAAAAAAATTAAAAACCAATATCCCTCAATGAATTAGAAGCAAAAATTCTGAACAATTAAAGAATTTCTGGAAGAATCACCATCCCCAATCTGAAGTTTTACTACCAAGCAGCTACAGTAATACATCAGCATTGTATCAGCATAGACATACTGATCAATGGAAGAGAATTAAAGTCCCAGGGACAAGTCCACTCACCCATGGACACCTGATTTTGTCAAAGAAGCCAAAAATACACACTGGTTAAAAAGCAGCATCAACTAATGGTGCTGGTCAAACTGGATGGCTGCATATAGAAAAATGCAAATATGTCCTTATTTATCATTCTGCACAAAACTGAACACCAAATGCATCATGGACTTCAACATTAGGCTGAATATTCTGACTCTGATAGAAGTGGTGACTAGTCTTGAATTCACTGGCACAGTAGATGACTTTCTGAACAGAGCACCAATAGCACAGGTACTAAGCACAATAATTAACAAATGGGACCTTATATGACTTCTGTATGGCAAAGCACACCATACTGTGTTGGTCAGTGTCCTATTACTGGGAAGACTACAACCGCAGCAATTCTTGTAAAGGAAAACATTTGATTGGGGCTGGCTTATAGGTTCAGTGGTTTAGTCCATCATTGTTATGGTGGGAAGCACAGTAGGGCACAGGCAGACATGGTGCTGGAGAAGGAGCTGAGAGTTCTACATCTGGATCAGCAGGAAGAGATACGCTGGGCCTGGATTGAGCATTCTGAAACCTCAAAGTCCACCCCCAGTGGCACACTTCCTCCAGTAAGGCTACATGTATCCTAATCCTTTCAAATCATGGTACTACCTATGAGCCTATGGGGGCCATTTTCATTCAAACCACTAGGGCCTCATTCAGACGAAGAAGCAAACTACAGAATGGAAAAGATTTTTACCAACTAAACATCCTATAGAAGGCTAATATCCAAAATAAAAAATTAACCCAACTGGGTACCCCAAAATGAGGCACAAAACTAAACAAGGAGTTCTTAAAGGATGAAACACAAACAGATGAGAAGCACTTAAAAATATCCAACATCCTTAGTCATCAGGGAAATGTAAATCAAAACTGCCTTGAGATTTCATCTTACACCAGTCAGAATCATGAAGATCAATGAAACAAATGACAGCTCATGCTGGCAAGGATCCAAGGGAAGGGGACACTCCTCCACTGCTGTTGGGAGTGCAAACTTGCAGCCACTACGGAAATCAGTTCCTCGGGAAGTTGGGAGCAAATCTACCTCAAAATCCAGGCATACCATGCTTAGGCATATACCCAAGGACTCTACACCCTATTATAGAGACACTTAATGCCGTTCATTGCTGTTCTACTCATAATATCCAGAAATTGGAAATGGCCTGGATTTCCATCAAAAGACAATGAAAACATGGAACATCCGTGCAATGGAATATTATTCAGTTATTAAAAATGGAACTATGAAACTTGCAGGTAAATGGGTAGAGCAAGAAAAAAATCGTCCTGAGTGAGGGAACCCAGACACATAAAGACAAACACAGCATGTTTTCACTTATATGTGGATGTTTAGCTTTTAAGACTTCTATTAAGCCTTCAATAGGCATGCTACCATCAGTATAACCGCTGAGATTAGGTACAGAATAAGAAACAAGTGGGGAGGGGAAAGTCTCCAGGCAAAGGGAAATAGAATATATAGTTCGAGACAGATAAGAGTGTTTAACAGAGAAGGAGGGGGAAAATGGGGTAAGGGAGGGAATGCAGGTAGGGACAACTAGCACCGAGGGCTGCTGGAAGGGCAATATGGAAACCTACTGCAGTAGCAGCTTCTTAAAATATATACATATATGAAAGAAAACGAGATGGATCACCAAAACAACCCTGAGGAGACAAAGCCCAGCTAGACACATCTCTCCTTCAAGTGGAACCTCTAGTGCCAGGAATAGGTTAATTGAATTGTTGGCCAAAGGGACCCCATGAAAGCCACCAAAGAACTCAGGCTATTGGCTACTTTCTGCAAACTGATAGTAAGGTCCTATTGCTGAAGACAACACGCATCTCATTAAAGAAGTCAAGATGGTGCTTAACTAGACCTTCATCCGTATGACTAGTTTTCACGGTATTGGAACGTACTCTGCCTGTGACCAGAGGAGAAAGGTAACCACCAACCCTGTTACAAACCCTGTGGTCTATCATGGTGACATATCTACAGGATGTGCTGGTGCAATCATGATGCAAAAGTGAAGTGGAAACTTCTAGACTCCTTGGAAAGTTAGTTATGTTAGATGGGCACACAGGTGAAAGGATGTCTTGCTGAAGCAGACACAGGTGAAAGGACGTTTCGATACAGTAATCACATGAAAAGATGCTTGATGAAGGAGTATAACTATGACCCCACAGACAGTGGGAGATGGGCACTGAGCATCGGTTTGGTTCTCTCCGCCTTGCTATTCTTTGCTAACAACACACACGTATTGGTTTGCCTTACATAGCGTTGTTGAGCTCAAGTTGTAGATAATGCTGCTATAGAGGGAAACTTGCCCAAGAATTTCTCATGAGGTTCTTGTGGCAGCTTGCTGTTTCAGTGGCCTTGCCTTGGGCTAGTTGGCGAGTCTTGTGGTTTCTTCAGGATTGAACTACAGCTGCTGGTTTGCATCTGATGTCTGCCTGCTGAAAGGACTGGACTGTGGCTGCTGGTCCCTGTGTGTTATCTGCCTGTCTAGAGGACTGGTCTGCAGCTGCTGAGTTGTATTTTGTGTTTGTTACGGGACTCAACTGCTGAGAAAGATCAAGCCCGCCCTCAAAAACCGACTGCTGAACAGGTCCACTTCCCTCACATTCTAATATCTTTTCTCTTCCATTACCTCTGCTGGGTGGTCGGCGAGAGGGAGAGGTTGAAATCTTATAAAAGTAGGTTGCAAAAAAAAATTCTGCCTACACAAAAGTTGTGGGAGTAACCAACCACTATCTGATTGGATTTAAAGCCCACGTCATGAGTCTGACACAAGTCTCACACTGCTTTGGTGCTCAAGAACCTGAGACTAAGAGAAAACCAAATACTACTATTCTAATAAAGGAATACAGGTATAGAATGAGTCCTAACAATATTCTGCTATACCTATTGTTGTTTTTTAAAACAAAATCCCAAATGTTCAATTTACCAAAAGACGACTCAGGAGCCAGACACTGTGGTGAAAGCCCACTAGCTCAGAGAGACAGAGAAAGCACCCAGCTGACCTTCCTACTCCTCTGACATTCCAGAAGGGAAAAGCTTTCTCCTTCTCTATGCTGTCTTAAATACTCTTCAACTCAAAGACTGTCCTTCCTACTTCCTTTTGCTCACTTCCTCTCAATCGGTGGCTTGCTTTACCTCTTGACCTGTCGTTGACTTTAGCTTGTGTTTACAGAAAGCTCTTGGGTGTGCTAGGATTGAGCCACACCAGAACAAGGTTCTTCCAGTACACAGTCCTGGGCTTCTACATGTAAGCAAATATTCTGCAACAATCCATGGATCAGTGCCTTCTTCAGCTATCATCAGAGAAGCTTCCTCCTACAGCAGATGGAACCAACACAGACTCACAACTGGACACACTGTTCAGAGAGTGAGAGACCTTGAACACTCAGTCCTAACGTCTCCATCAAATCTCTCACCTCAGGGCTAAGGCAACTGGAAGTGGAAAGATTGTAAGAGTCAGAGGGGTTGGGTGATACCAAGGAAAGAGTGTCTTCCAGACATAACAGAACTGACTTGTTTAAGTGATGGTAGTGAAATGACTGAACTACAGGGCCTGCAGTTTCAAGTCAGGTGGGGCTCCATTTTGAGACTGGAAGTGGACACAAGCGTCCATCCCTAACAGGAAACTATCTCTAATAGACATCCACTTGCAAAGAAAAAAAAAAGGTCTTCTTCAATGGAGTCTCCATGCCCATTAGTACATTACATCTGCATTATCTGTGTAGATGGACAACACAAAATGAACTCAATGGTTCTTAGTTGGGGCTTTTCATTTTTGCTTTACTTGTGTTTTGTGTGTATGTTATGGATTCTGTGTTGTACTTCCTCTTTATTATTTTTCTTTTTTAAAATTCTGGTTTGACTATTTGTTTTCTAAAGAGAGAGATAAGGCATGGAGTCAGGTGGTTGGGGGAGGTTGAGAGAATCAAAGAGGAGCTGTGTGTGGGAGAACCATGATTAGGATATCTTGTATGAAAAAAATAGTTTCAATAAAAAGAGTTAGTGGCAGACACGTCAACAAATATTTCCCAAAAGGCCACTTGTACATAACCAAGGCACATTACCCTCGGATTCTACCTTGCTGTAGTACTAATGTAGTAGTGTACTAAGTGTAGAACGGTAGTTTACTCAAATCTCCCCAGTTGCTTCGTTGTGTTCCTTAACAGCCGGCTCGTTTTATCCACAGTCCAACTTAGAATCACAAAAAAATTAGCATTAAATCTTTTTTCTTCTTCAACCTAGAACCGTCTGGTACCTTTTTCTTCATCTTTCATGACATTGAAGAGACTGAGCACTTGATTTGCTGAAGGTCCCTTAATTTGGATTTGCTTGCTTGTCGATAGACAAATTACCTAAGAATATTACTGTCTTATGTCCCTTTCTGTGCATGACAGGCCACAAGGAGTTAGCTTTAATCACTTGGTTAAGGCGATTTTCTTGCTGTGAAGGTCCCTTCCACTTCAGTAAATAATCCGCGGAGTGATTCCTGGAAACCATAGGAAGAGCCTTAACCGTTTCCTAAGGAATCCGTTGTTACTACGGTGGCTCCTGGCACAATTTCTGCTACACTGATTTCTCTTCTATGAAGAGCTCTCTCTCCATCTCCTCTGTCTGTGAATTAACTTGCATGCTCTAGAATCTCGCAGCCGCCCAACCCCTAGAACCTACGTTTTCTCATCCTTACAACTGAGAAGACTCACATTTTAAAATTATAGTTGACCTGAGACGAAGTTCCCATAAAGATCTGCAAGTCATCCACCAGAGGGTGGCGGGGTCTGGGAGCGACACTCTATAGCTTGCTGCTCGCGTCCGCAGCACCCGCTCCGGTTCTATGCTGGCGCCCTGCCCGCGCTCCTTTCAGGGAACAGTAGCCATGGCTTCGGCACGTTCTCGCGAGAACGGCGCCTCCGGCCACAGCCGAGGTCCTCAAGGCCTTTCGGCCATTTGCACCCCCCGCGCCGGGCACCCGCCTGCTGGGGCCTCCTGCGCACGCGCACGCGAAGCCGGACAGTTGGCGGACACGCCCGCCGCGGGCCCACTGCGCGTCGGGTCGGAGGCGCGGCGCCGCGCGCACTCGCTCTGTGCGGCGACGGGCGCGCAGGCGCGGCGGGGAGCGAGGTCGCGCAGGCGCAGACGGCGTTGGTTCGAGAAGACCTTCAGCGTTGCCTTGGTGGAGCGGGACGGGCCCACCCTCGGGTTGTAGGTGAGGCGGCCGCTGCCACGGGCCGGGTGGGCTGAGGGCCGGCGGGCCTGACGAGCCGAGGCCGCGGAGGAGGAGCTGAGGGGCGCCGGCCTAGGGCGAGGCGAGGCGGGGAGACTCCGCTGCCCGGACCCTGCTGGTCGCCTGAGGGCGGGAGTCGCCGCCCTGGGCCGCGACCTTCTGCCGCGCCCGGCGTGCGGACTGGCGTTCTGCCCGGGGCCAGGCTGGAAGGAGAGCGGTTTCTAGAGAGGACGAGTCCTGGAACCCCAAACCTACACCCGACCTTGCCCTTCCCTCCCTCTCTGGCGTGTCCAGCACCTGTCAGGCATGTCTTGCACTCCTGAAGGCGGAAGGGAGGATGCTCTTCATGCATCTTAAAAAGCAGAAACAAGGAACAAAAGAGAAACTGTATTATTTAGTTAGTGCCTTTTGTTTTCCTCTCTGGGTCTAATGCAGCCTTGGGGGCTTGGTGCATATCTGTTTTGTAGCGCTAATAGAATCGCGAGGTTGTAGCTTTACTCTCGAGTAACATGGAGTCTTGTGTTTTCTCGATTTTTGCTTGATCATACCAGCAGTGCATTTCCCATCAGAATCATGGGCCCGAATAAAGAACAGTTTGAGCATAAACGACTTCAGTTAGCCGCTTTTGCAAACAGTGACTCAAAACGCTAAAAGCTTGTAATCAGCACTTACACATTTCGACCGCTTTGAAGTATTTTCTCCCTGATCAGTGTGAAAATTTAAAAACTATAAACATTTCTGCCTGAATACGTAAGACCTGCATTTTTATACCTCCCTCCCAGAATGATGGCAAAAGATTTATATTACTACCAGGATTGTAAAACTACCCTGTTAGTGGACTCTAAACCCTATAACGTAGAGCAGAACTTTATCATTGATTGATGTAGAACTTCAATACCCATTTGCCTTTACTCTTTAACTTTTCCTTTTGGTTGATGCCTTGGATAAAACCCATGGCACCAATTATAGATTCAATTTTATGTAAGATAAGTGCTTTACCCATACGCCATCCCCCTTTCTGTATAATTTTTTTGGGGTGTGTGTGGACTTGTTTATGTGATGTATGTACATGTTTGTCCAGTGGTTGATGTTGGGTATAGGTGTTCTCACTGATCTGAGAGAGCCCTAGGGATCCTCCTGTCTCTGCTCCATCCCTACTCCAATGCTATGTGGGTCCTGGAGATTCATATTCAGCTCTTCATACTTATGTGACAGACACCTTGCCAATTGAGCCATCTCCTTTGTCCTGACTTTATATATGAGTTTTTTGTATGCTCTTTCCTCTTAGCTTTATATCATAGTATGTACATGTCACAGGTACAAATTTTAAATGATTTCCCAGTTAGGAAATGAGTCATGCTGAATGTGGTGGCACACAGCTATAATTCCAGCTCCCCAGAAGCTGGGGCAGGACTATCATATGTTGAGGGGTCTGGGCTATAAACCAAGGCCCTGTTTATTTATAGGCAAAAGCCTAGCAGGAGTTAGATTAAGAGTTGGACTGAGTATAAATACACAGGCTAGTTATTTAAGTGATTTGCAAAATGTCCATAGTTCACACATAGTGACTGTAACTCGAAGATGTGTTCAACCTGTTGATTTGGCACAACTTCATGTACAGAATTCGTGCTCAACAACTTTGTCATCTATTAAGGTCATGCTCAGGAACTATGCAGTCAAGCTTTTTTTTTTTTTTTGGATACAGGGTCTCATTATGTGGTACTCCTCCTGGCTTGCTTCAGACTTACAAATTGTGTCTGCCTCTGTCTTCTGAGAGCTGGAGTTGAAGTCACATTTCACCGTGGCCACCCTATGTTTTACTTATTTTTATCTATTTACATATTTCATGTGCGCGTGTGCATTTCATGCACACTTGCACTGGTGCATGCTTTTGCTTCTGCCCATGTGTGACGGTCAGAGGAGGCCTTGGGGGAGTTGGTTCTATCTACCATGTGTGCTCTGGCATCAGAATCAGGTTGTTAGGTTTGGTGATAAGTACCTTGTTGAGCTATCTTATCAGCCCCAAATTAGAGAATTACTTTGTTTGATGTGTTTAGATGAATGCATGCCATTGCCTGTTTGTGTCAGAGGACGACTTGTGGGAGTTGGTTCTCTTCTTCCACCGAGTGTGTCTGAGGGACAGAACTCAGGTCATGCATGAGTCTTGGCAGTTAGTGCCTTAATTCCACCTCACTAAGCCTCATATCTCCTGTTTTAATAAGTTTACTTTTTTGTAGCTAGTGAGTCACATTCGTAGGTGTTCTTGGCTGCATGTGGCCCCCAGGTAGGGGTGCCTGGAAGCTGACTGGTACGTTGGAATTTTCTGGTGTCATAAAATCCCATTAATGGAATTATTGAGGGAGTTGAATGATTGCTTAGACCTGACTTTTGCATCTTTAATAGGGAAACAAAAGAAATTGCTGCAGGGATCTTCTATGCAGAGGGATAAGGGAGGCTGTATTCACTGAGAATTCAGTGTGAGGGTCTTACTGGCTTTCTACAGAAATTGGGTGACTAATGAGTAGGCAAGATTGAAAGGTTTTAATTTCAAAGTTCACATCTATTTTTGGTAAGCAGGTTATTGCAGATAGATTCTATTCTATTTCTGGCTAATAGTAAAAGTATAACATTTTAAGAAAAGCTTTGGAAAAGATCATATTCTTGAATAGTATATTTCATTTAGTAGGTTTTAAAAATATATTTATTATGTTGTGTGTTTGTATGTATGTCAGGTGTGTGCAGATCCTTGCAGAGGTGTCAGATCCCCTAGAGTTGGAGTTACAGGTGGCCATGGGCTGCCTGACATGTGCTCTTAACTGCTCAGTCACCACGCCAGCTTTTGGGGGTTGGGGGTGTGTTATTTGGTTTTTCATTTGTGTTTTGAGATAGGATCTTGGAACCCAGGGTGATCTTGGATTTGAAGTCCTCCTACTCTAGTCTGTTGATTACCTGGTTCAGTCTCTTAAAGCCTTTTATTTTAAATTTTGTTTTGAGACAGGGTCTAAGTTGATCTGATTGGTCCGGAACTCTGTCTGTAGTAGACAAGGCTGGCCTCACACTGCCCTTCCTCTGCCTCCTGAGTGCGGAGAGTTAAGGGATATACCACCACCAAATCCAGCTTCAAAGCTTTTACATTTTATTTCTACTTTTTAATTTTTTGTAGTTTTGTGCGTATGGGCGTTTTGCGTGTCTGTGTGCCACATGTATGTAGTGCTTATAGAAGCCAGAAAAGGTCACTATAGCACATGGAACTGGCGTCAATGATGACGTGAGAGGCCATGTTGACACCCTTTGGAAGAACAGCAGAGCTGTTAACTATTGAACTCTCTGCAGTCTCGGGGAAGCTTTTCTGGCCTGGCTATGGTATGGGGATTGAACCTGGGACCTCAGTGTGCTAGGCAAATGTTGTACTACTTCAGTGTTGCCGGTTCTCTTTAATCTGTTGTTCTTGTCTTTGAATCAGTTTCATAGACTGCCCAGGCCTGGGCTCCTTCTGTGGTCTGGGATGGGCCTGCACCTCTGACCCTTCTGCTTCAGCCTCTTTAGGATTGCAGGCTTGAACTATCAGGTCTTATTTTAGGGACTGAAGTTCAGAGTAGCAAAATGTTAAAACCCTGAAGGCCTTTAACTCTTCTCCCTCCATTTTGGAGACAGACTCTCCCTAAATTGCCTGGACTGGCCTTGAACTTGTTACTGTTCTTCGGTAGCTGGCATGCACCAGTATACTTTTTCTCTGTGGGGTGTGCTATTGGGATTGAACCCAGATCCTCACACCTCAACTCTGAGGACTTGATTGCATGTTTTTACAGTTCCTTAAAATGTTCCCTTTGTGTTCTAGGGACTAGCTCAGTTGGTAAAGTACACAGTCACTGGGAGCCGAGCTTGACCTTCAGAGCCCATTTGAAAAGGCCAGCCATCCTTGTGTGTGTGTGTATGTGTGTGTGTAACCCCAGCCATCATAGTGTGTGTGTGTGTGTGTGTGTGTAAAACCCCAGCCATCATAGTGTGTGTGTAACCCCGGCTCTGAAGAGGTGTGAGCAGGCATAAGGACCCTGGGGCTCTGCCTAGCTAGCTCAGTGAAAGACTCTATCTAAAAAAAATGTAAACGGCACCTGAGGAATAAGACACATGCATGTGTGCCTGCACAAATGTGTACCTATTACACCTACATATTAAAAATAAATAAATAAAACTTAGTATAACCAAGCCTGGGAGACTCTTGTCTTTGAAATGCAATTAAAATGATAAACTCTGGATCTCAAGAGTAAACTCTTATTTTCTAGTTTTAGGAATAGAATTCTATCTTTGAATTTTGATTTCATTAGGGTATTAGTGTTAGTGGCGCAAAGGAAAAAAAAATCTCGGGATGACAGAGTAAAGAGTTAGGAGTGAACATACTAAGTGGTTAATCTTTCTTTTCATTTTCAAGATATGTGTAGCACACCAACTTACTGCGACCTAGGAAAGGCTGCCAAGGATGTCTTTAACAAAGGGTATGGTAAGTATGCAATGGCAAATTCTATGTCGACTCAGGGTTCGTAATGAATTCTGAGGATCTAGCTACATGCTTTTGCAGATCCTTAAAATGTTTGTGTTGTAGGCTGGGGAATAGGTCAGTTGGTGAAATGTGTAAGAAACATTCTG